TGAGAAATGAAAAGTTTACTACTGAATAATTGAAAAATAAACCTACTGTACTTATATAGCTGAATAGTATATTGCACTTAGCAATACCAAGTCCTTTTGAATGACAACTAGTAGTCATAATTGAATTCGGAGATGAAACATATATACAAGTGTAAAAAATAATGGAGAATTTTGTCTCTCCCCAAATATTGAACATATTGCGAATATGGACATGACACACCCACACTACCACCTAACTAGTCCTGTATGCGTACCTATACTTTTTGTCAATATAGTTTGTTTCATGTATATGTATTGTTATGTCCAAGACAGACCTCAATTTTTTATGTAAGTGATTAAATATGTATATGTACTTGGAAATAGAATCTCGGGAAAAATACTGAATATGCGAATTACTAGAACATAACAGAAAGTTGTATCTGATGAAGTAAGATTTATTATGGAGAATTATGTTGAAATATGATACGCTTATGACAGATGATAATGCAAGATAAGAGGGACGCCTCGAAGATGAATAACAACAATAGTTGCAAATCAGCTGTCAAGCCATGGCGTATGAATAAGTGTATATAAAGATGTTATTTTGTTATTGTCACGTAGTAAATGTGATGCGTGAAGAGAGAGAGATATAATGACGTGGAGGCACTCGAAAGTGCAAATTGATGTATTCGTTTCAAAGTGAGACGATAGATGTATGAAATAATATGTTTTTCTCGCGATATGAAGAGAAATAGGGACAAAGTAAATTGTCAGATTAGAGTAAATAATGGCAGATACAAGGTTAATGATATTCAGGATGTACGAGATGAAGTTTCCACAAAATACCTAGATATTCATCATATGTAATTCAATGCTCGTCGTTAGGTATTAGCCAGGAGTGTGGTTGTTTCATGATGAATATCATATAGGAAGATTCGTTTTTTCTCGGTGACAAACCATTTATAATATGAGAAAACAAAAATTGGTAACATTGAGATAACATAGGAATGAGAATTAATTGAATGAATGAAACATTAAAATAAAAATCAATAATACGGGTGTGTCATTCATATTCCAAATCAAGAAATAATCTCTTTTCTATAATTTGAACAGAAACTGTTCGGCAACACGAACAATTTCATACAGAGTGGTAGAGCGATTCTTCAAAAGGGTAGTAGAAGAAGGTATATCTTGATTTTCCTGTACTGAGACCTATCTTTTTGATGAACTCAAGATAAGCAGCAGGAAAATCATGAGAAAATAATTTTGTTTGAACTAATTTAGGAATTTTTTAGAGATCATTACTCGAGAAAATTACGTCGATAATATTCAATTATTTTATGACTAGTTAGGTAGTTTTATATGTATTCTTTTGTATGAACTTACTGCCGATATTTTTTCTTTCTTGTTACATGTGAAACGAAGAACCACACTTGATGGCACCACTCAGATGCAGCCCAAGAAGTCGACCTGAACCACAAACAGTCATAGGTCCATATACCACGTCAAAGGTGTTTTGGTCCATGAGAAGTTCCATCGTTCCTGGAGTCATCTAGTAGATGAAATTCGAATGGTAGAGAGCCCTGGAAAATTGGAAAATGCAGTTATCACGAAATGAATAAGCCGAGTCGATATATCGCAACTATAGGATGCATGCCCCAAGCAACTTACTTTGTATCCCGCCTGATGTGCCTCGAAATGGTAGATACGCTGCCCCGTGAAGAGCTGCCCAATTCGCATGACGATATGCTTTTCCGACGCTACAGGAGCCCAAAAGGCAGCCAGAATCCACGAAACCTAGACGAAATTTCCACGAGGTTGAGATGGAAAGGTGCAGAATAGACAAAACTTACCAGAGCCCCGACTACAGGACGTCAATACAGTAACCAAAGTAATGTCTATATTCCCAAGCAATTAAGTTCGCACTACCACTCACTATACGAAAATCACGCCGATTATAAGTGTAGATAGTACCGAACTACCGAAATCATTGCGAAAACGAAGCACTAGTAGCAATGGACGACAAACTACTTATTCAGCAATTTCCGTTATCTGCATATAAAGAGACAGAGATACTCTCCTAAATCCCTTCTTGTTTCTTCTCCGGAGACGATAGAGCGCAGCATCCAAAGAACGCAGCAATTGCAGTCTATAAGCTGTACCGTACACTGCCATAGAAAACGTCTCATCAGAGAGCTAGTGTTCCCTCCCAGGCGAGATTGGACACCGTCAGACCTTCTCACAGATCTCACGTGCATCAATCCTACCATGTTATGATCTCAATGTTATGGATGTATCAAGTTACAAGTGGAACAAAACATCACCGACCTACGACACTAACATATGGAAAATGGAACCGCAACCACAGATGACTGGAAGGACAGAGTTCAGTGTCAACAAACAATTAAAGTGTAGTGCCGGACCAAGTGATTTTCAGTGTGGTCCTCTTTGAAACTCTCACATACGCGGAGAAAATAGACTTATCTAATGGACAGTTATCACAAGTTCTTTTCATTTGTACTTTCCTCTTTTAACTAACGATTTTTTTTATGTTACGTTTTTATTCATCATTGATGTAGGTATGATTTTCACACAATTTTATGTTTTTTATTTTTTTTCATTCGATCACTTCTTTTGATTGACTCATTATTCGATTTGATTATTGTTTTGTATCATGTATATAGGTAGTTATAGACACTTGAAGCTGTGGGGCCAGCTTCGTCAAACAGGGGAGATGTGTCAAGAAGTACAAATGTCTATGAAATAACTTTCGTTCATTTATTCATGAATTAACTTTTCCAAATTGATACATCTTGTACAGCGTTTCGATCAGGTCAAAGCGGAGTTCATAGACTCTAGTTCCGGTAAAATTTGCATGAAACCGCTTAGCTTGCGACGCGGGCTAAGCCCGGTATCGAGCATTGCCATTGCGGAAAATTGCAATGTTAGCATCGATTCGAAATATAAATAGATTTCGAATCGATAAGCCATTCATTACTGATTCTTCATTATTATTGATTCATTATTACTGATTATTCATTAGTGATTACTGATTGCTGATTACTAATTCATTACTATTATAATGCATTTCGATAACACTTTACTTGATTCCGTAATTCAGTTACTTATTCACGAGTTGCTGCCAAAATGTGTACCGTCTTCCCGACTTTGATCCTGCTGGCCAACCCCATGTTAGATGTCATAATGTAAGTATACTGTTTTCCCTGTTCTATCTGATTTGTTTTTTCTGTGTTGTGTTCCGTTTGGTAATTTACTATGGTTTGTCTCAGCTACTTTGCCATGTGGAAAGCATTTATTCACGACTTTCCCATTAAATCAATAAATGTTAATTTTATACGAAAACTATCTTGACTCTTCATTTGGGGATGAATAGGGTTGGATGGTGAAATGATCAAAATCCTCTCATTAAGCCAAGCGAGTAGCCAAGTTGCGATCCATAGGAGGGCAACATCTGAGTTGCGACATGTGGTGGGCACGCCGTTTGCCAAATAATCTACCAAAACCATCTGAGTTGCGACAATATCTGGTAGCATTATTTGAGAGAACATTTTTTCCTTCGAAACTATTTGGTATACAAAATTTTTACAATCGTGATAAAATGAAGGTAACTGATGAGTTTTCAAACTCAAGAAATTTTAGAACCGTATCATGACCCTTCAAAAAGTTCTGAAGAAAATGTCAGGGGGTGAGGGTGGTTTCAACCTTTCTACAATTCCTTTCAGGTTTCTTAGATTACCAAAAGGAGAGTAATCCTCTGAAATACACTGTTGCGAAATTTCATCTAATTCGTTCCACTTATTCCTCTACATTTTCTTTTAGGTTTCTCAGATTACCAGAAGGGAAGTAATCTTCTGAAATATTCTATTGCCAAGTTTCATCAAATTCGTTCCACTTATTCCTGAACAGCATACAAAAATGTGTTTTTTCATTTTTTCAAGTGAACTTTGAACCCTTCTCACGGACAAACGGTACATTTAGGCACATGAATAAATTGGGTCCAATCAACTTATTTTGACCTCCTCTACACGTGATAGCTCTGTGTCTCAGCAATTTTGGGAGAATGTTTCAGACATCGAAGAATGGCAATAACACAAAAAAGTTACATTCAACTGAACTTATGGCTTAAGTTCCCTATGATATTATGTTGATTTCAATTAGCTTTTTCGTTAACTATCACCGACAGTTTCTCTCCAATTCACCATATTCTCCAGGTGAAATGTTTGCTGAATCTATTACCGTAACCCTAGTACTATCAACTGACATAGATGGTTTAATGTAGTGCATTCAGAAGTATCTAATTGATGGCGAATCAGCATTCATAACTCGTTTAGGTGAAAATACCAAACTCCTAGTGAATTTCAGTACGAACTACAGTACAATAGTTCACTGTTTCTTCGATGAAAAAATGATCCACCTGAATACACTTCGTATCATTCAATGAATAACATAATACAATGATGTCCATGGAAATTTATCAGGGAACATGCATACTCAACTGTGGATTTTGTTCTAAGGTAGATATCGATCAGAAAGGTCGTACGTTCAATCAGCGCCTTCATGAACATAACATTTTTTTTTGTTTCAAAAGAGAAGAGAGTCAACATACGCCAACTATGAATTGGAAAAAAACGAATTTTTGTTGGTAATTTCGAAATTCTACTCGTAGAAAATGGGGTAAAGGAACCCAATCCTTTCGAATAATTATAAATCAAACAACTCAAAAATTCTGACATTTAACTTCTGACATTGACATCTGACATCGAAAACCTGTACGACTTAGACTGCTTCCACATGCATCCGTTTTCACGGATCTACGTTTACGTAATTTACGTACACAAGTTTGGGTTCCTTCCGGATGGAATGGTTCCGTGAGCTCCGTTGTTATCCCTGTTTTGCGCGAAAGGAATAAAACAATATGGGAGCAGAAAAACATGAAGAGAAAAATCAAAAATTTGTATATATTCGATTTATTATGGAGAGATGCAGAATGTTAAAAAAAAATGGTAGATTTTGGACATATCTTCACAGACAATTCTCGAAGATTTCATGACGCAAGTGAATATTCGGCTAGAGGAATGGAGAAAAACGGCAATGAAAACTTTTTCAATTATTTGAGAATGTCCCCTGATATATTTCATCTATTGCTTGGACTCTTGGAGACTGAACTTGAAAAACAACCAAGAACCAGATTAGAAATTACGCTTTGTTATCTGGCATCTGGTGAAGGTATGACTTCTATTTCATATCTTTTTCGTGTTGGGATTCCTAGAGTTTCAGAAATTATTCATGAAACATGCCTTTTGAGGCATTTAGAACACATCCATAGATAAACTACGAACATATCCCACAAAGTTTATGAGTTTTTGACGGTTCAGGAAAAATCGAAAAAAATAAAATATTCACTCAACCTAGCTTTCTTCTCATCACGAACAAATTAAAAGGAGGGAACTTAATGTTGAGCCAATTGGGTACGTTGCGATTGCCGACTCATCCGTGTCGATTTCTATCGGTCAATATTCATCACATGATCCAACGGATCCGTGAAAACGGATGCAGGTGAAAGCTGCCTGAGTATCCTCTTACAACAACGTATCGAGAATAACCTGAATAATAACAATACTTTATGTTTCAGATGAATATAGATTTGTGAAAACTCTCGATGGTGGAAACTATCGATTTGTACAGTCGGTTATCGCGTTAATCAGTTAGTTAGGTCTTCGTGCGTTCTAGACAAAGTGACTCGAGTTGGGACAATATTGTGAGCACAATTTTACCATGTTAACAGGGTGTCCAGAAATAATGCGCAAAAAATCGAGGGGGTGATTCTACATGATGAAATAAGGTATCCAATTTATATGTACGTGAGTCCGAAAATGCATAGTTTTCAACATACGGTGTGTTAACACTTTTGAGAAAGATCGGGTTTTCATAGATATCTCAAATGTCCTTTCACCGATTTCCTTGGAATTTGGCAATGTGTAACACTCCACACACTGAATTCAGAATTTGAGAAATAATTTTGAATCAAATTATGAAATTTATACTTATGCCTTTGGGCTACTCAGATTGATACGGTAGGGTGTGAGTTCAAAAGTTACAATTTTACTGTTGAGATGGTAATCAAGTAATATGAATTCTAAGGATGATTTCAAGGAGATTAATATGACTGTTAGATATATTTGGGCGCCAGGCTTGCAGGGACAAAAGCCAATCAGATACTTCCTAAAAACCTTGCTTGGATAAGAAGACAAAATAAATAATATACAGAGAATCAATTCAACAATTCAATTCCTTGATAAAATTACAAACTGCAGAAGGCCAGAAGAATTTAAGATAACAATACTTTGTTTGAAGTGGCTGAAGGCCCTTAAAGAATATTGAGAATTATGTGAGACTGAAGTGGCTGAAGGCCCAAAAACAAGATTGAGGATTATTTGAAAATACTGAGAAATTGAAAAAAAACAAGAAAAATGGAGCTAAATAGATTCAGAACATTCAACTTCACAAGAGCTATTGATCCGATCTCATTCCAATTGAAGGTCTTGGCACTTGGATGGATAATACCTAGTTGGCCGGATGAATTGTCCAAGAGGGTCTCCTTAGGGTAAATGGGAGTTCAACCTGCAGAGTCAGTTCAGCTTCCAACTCTCGATTCTGCTTCCAGAGCTACCAAGTACTGTGGTGGGTACTTCTTGTGATGGAAGTAGTAGGGTATAGACTCCTTCAGTTCTATAGAATGAAGAGATTTTGTATTTCGTGTAAATTTTTTTAATTATAAATCGCAAAGCGCTTTCGGCTAAAAAGCCATCATCAGTGCTATACCTGCAAGTAAGTAACATTTGTGAAATTTCAAAAACAAATCTAAAAAGGTAGATTACTTACTCGTCAAGTATTTACAAAAAGGTCCAAATATTAGTGATCACAAACATCATTATGGTACAAACGGGATTATGTACCATAATGATGTTTGTGATCACTAATATTTGGACCTTTTTGTAAATACTTGACGAGTAAGTAATCTACCTTTTTAGATTTGTTTTTGAAATTTCACAAATGTTACTTACTTGCAGGTATAGCACTGATGATGGCTTTTTAGCCGAAAGCGCTTTGCGATTTATAATTAAAAAAATTCACACGAAATACAAAATCTCTTCATTCTATTGATCAGTTACGTGTATGCAGCTAGTAAAAATCTTCTCCTTCAGTTCTGACTGCTCAGTAGGGAATCTCCAGGTGTTACCGTCCTTTACCACCCTCTTTGGTTAACCAGGATTCTCGAAGCAGGTATAGGCGTAGAGTGCATGCGGAAATATACGAGGAATCAGAAAGTTGTCGACAAGTGATAAAAGGGACGAAAGGATATCCTTTGAACCGCTCACTGAGTTTTATGTTCTGAATGTAGATATTGTGGAAATCAACAAATTCAAAATTTCAAGAACTTAGAAAAGTATAATGGATTAATTTCAAAGAAAAACTTGAGTCTTTTTAAAGGACTATAGAAAATTGACTCAAATCAGAACCGGAAATAACTGAGAATCAAATCATTAACTCAGAGAAAGATTATTTGAATAATATATATAATAATATAAATAATAATATTGGTATCGATATATTATTACAGGAAATAATCAAAGAAAAATTATCATTTATCTAATGAAGAAACTAAATTCATTTTTGATAAGTTACGAATTAGAAAAATTAAATGAGGGTGGCAAATCCTCCAACTAAAATGCCAAGAAAACTACCTTCTACTGAAAGTAAAGAAATTGTAATATCTATATACAGGGTGGCAAGTCCTGTTCAAAAGTAAAATGCCTGATAATAGTCACTCTTTCAAGTTTGAAGGTAACAGGTGATTTACTTGTCCGTGAAAGTGGGTGGCAAGTCCTGATTCAAAAGTTAAATGCCAGATAATAGGTAAATACTTCAGGTGTGAAGTTGACAGGTAATCTACTTTTCCGTGAAAGTAAAAGAAAAAGGTATGTATGAAGATATATATATATATACAGGGTGGCAAGTCCTGGTTCAAAAGTTAAATGCCAGAAAATAGGTAAGTACTTCAGGTGTGAAGTTGACAGGTCTGGAATTGATATCTGGTATACCTTGAGATAAGGAAATAGACATGCATTGACATGTGGTTTGTTGAGTTGATCAAGAAGATACTGACAGTAAGATATAGAGAAAAATCTCACTACCAGAAAACTTGAATTATAGATTGTTCTTTCGTCACAACAAGGCAAAACCTATACAGGAACCAGACAAATGTTGACTGACCAGGCTATAGAGAGAAGGAAACCTTCCTCAGGTTGCATTTATTTCTCAGAGAGAATGAAAAATAACTTGGAAAAGAAATTCACGAGTTGATGATAGAAATTAAATGCTCACCTGAGAAAGAATCCTGGGAAGGTACAGCCTGGACGTCAAGGTTCAACTTCAAGGCTCTAGGTCCTGTATAAGATCAAGGTTCCTGAACGAGACACAGAGTAGACTTCAGTTTAGGTTTCCTGGATGAACATCTGAGGAACCTACGATGACGTTTCGAATTTCCAATAGGTACCTAGAAAAATTTTTAAGAGAGTAGATGCTGTTTTCAACTTATTGATTGAGGAAACATTAGCGAAAAAGCTGTTGATAGCAACAAGTACAAAAAGCAGATTTAAGCGGCAAGGTCGGTGGTACTCAACCTTTCACTGAAAAATAATGGTATATGATTTATTATATTATAAATCTGCAATTTTACAAAAATATTGTCAACCAGTGCTAATAAAATATAGGAAGAACTCAAATATCGAGTAAATTGATATCGATGACCAATTATTACATAAGAAACAACCAGATAGGAATTGTAACCTCAATCAACTCGAATGCAATTATCTCTCTCAAAAATGAAATTCGATCAGAAATATTTCGATTAATATTTAATTCAATAGGTAATAATCAACTCTAACAAACCAAATGTCTGCGATGACAAGTTATTTCACTCGAAAAATAAAGATAGATCCAGACCTACCAGATATCTTCAATTCCCACAACCTATCACTTTAACCTTTTCAAGTCGGTAGTTCAAATCAGAAGGACTTTGATTTTCCTCTTCGTTCTTCGCGAAAGATCCTGTCATATCAATTCCTTCACCTGATTGGTTATTAAGTCTCCCTTATTCGATCTTCTGTGTCGCTGTCTAGCGGGAAGGACGAGCGCGCAAGACTTGATGAATTCGATATGGTTGTTATCTCGTGGTTTTCGAAATAGACTTTTAAAAAAACAATTTTATTTATTCCGGCATAGATTAAGTTTATACAATGAGCTTTTTTTCAAGACTGGGTTTTTGATACAATATAGAAAGAATTTATATTAAAAATAATGCTGATGCCAGCGTCAGCAGATATTATATTCCATTTCTGCGGATGCTGACTTCAAGGTCAAGATCATGTTCTGAGGAATTGTTATCGCTGGTAAGTTGATACTACTGAGAACAATGGGATCTGATTTTAGCATATAACAACTCCCCATCATAATAAAAAGTTGGTGCTTATTGCAGCGACTTTTAATGAAGGTCTTTCGAGGTGGATGATGTCAGCTCGAAGTCGTCTTCTTGGTCTCGGATGTTGACGCTTGGGCGTCTTCTGGGGATGAACCTGGTAAGGGATGATCTGAAGGGTGTCCTTGATGTTCCTGGTGGAGCTGGGGGTGAATTGTCTGAAGCCATGATGCTTATTCTTGCTGGTCTTCTACGTCTGCACTTACAGTAGAAGTAGAGTACAATCAGGAGGATTATCAGGGTGATCGTAAGATACGTAAACCAAGAAATGTGTTTGGTCACGTATGGTTGATTGATTAACTTGTCCAAATCATCGGAATATTGACTCAATTTGTGCTGAGCAATATTCAGGTCTTCAGTATCCAATTTGCTTAGTTTTAGTGGTTTTAGCTCTGGAACATTCTGTTTTTCAGGTAGGTGTTTGCAGCATTCGTATGGGATGATGACTGGTTGATTTCTGTAGGTCACATTCTTGTAAGAACTGACCAAGTACTTAGCGTGTACTCTCGTACTTCCTATGAATGCATTGCATTCTGGTTGTAGTGTGAGGATCGAATTGGTATTGGCTATTTTCGTGATTGTTTCTCTATTGGAACACTTGATCGTTATTGGTAGTGGATCTGACAAAGCGATCAACCACATATTGGAGGCAATTTCTTGTACATTATAGTCTCTTGCAAAGATGACTGAGGATTGGCATGTCTTCGGTACTTCGAATTGCTGTCGAAGAAGTTGAGCTTCACAGATGGCGTTGTTATCGATTGGATATGGGAGAACATCTGAACAGATTTG